TTTTTCAATTTTAGGTAACTTATATATTAATAAAATTCTTGAGTAGTCAAGTTACACATCATTGCAAAGTTTACATTATAAAAAAAATACTTTGTTTGTTTCATCAACAAACAATTTTATTTATTTAACAAAATGTTCAATTTTACTTCCATGGTTTAAGCCTTAATATTCCTTGCTACTACAGTTTGTTTCCAGGCAGGAGCGGAGGATCGGTAAAAATATAATTGAAAGATTTTAAATTTTATTTTAAACTAAGTGTCACTAACATCAACATGGTTAATCTTTTTACCCTCAGAAAAAAATTCATAGGGTATAATCATTAAACTATTATTTTAACAATAAGTAAGTTACAGTTTGCTTATTATGCTACTCACTTTCAGATCGATTCTGGTGCAAGATGGTCAATTACTGATGCTATTTATCAATTATAGATAAACAACAAAGCCAGGGTTTGGATCGTTCCCATATACAAACCAAACAATGCCAATGTCTTTGGAAAACACAAACAAATACATAAAAAGCGATATTTTTTGCTACAGACTATGTAAAACTGGGTGATATTCAAACGCCAGGTCGCAGGTGTGAGGGATATTTATTGTTGGAGTTCCGCCAATTTATTTCCCAACAATGAATTCAGGATAGGTATATTTCATTGTTTGTAGAACTGTACAACGCAGTTCCAAACAAAAATACCGTCTAGCAATATTTAGGTCAAGCTTCTGTTTGAAAATGGTTTTGCAGTAGGTTTGTACGATGAGTAACTTAAAATTAAACAAAGCATGGGGCAACAATATCCTAAAGTGACGATCGAGGGTTAAAAAGTTACTTTATGAACAATATTTGTCGTCATATTGCATAATTAATTAACAAACTAATCTAGAAAACGAAATAATTATTATGTAAAGATTATCTCTCAAAACGATTTCCGGCTAGTTCTCAATTCTGCTATTGCATAAAATAAGCAGCTGTTTAGTAAGTGATTCAATCATTTCGTCCATTACGATTGTATTGCAGTACATTATACCATCGATATGTAAAAAAATCGACAACAATAGGCTAAAACCTGACCTAATATAAATCAATCGATAAATAATTTCGATCTTTACGATTGGCACAATCAAAATTTACAACTGTTTACAATAGCTGATTTTCACTCCCTAGAGACTAAAAATGATTAGTGCTACCATTGACTATACACCTCTGTATAGTCAATGGTGCTACTTTAGACCAGCAACGCATGCATTAAAAGCGGCTGTTTTTGCTGCAGTATGTTACAAGTTCCGGGTTCAACGTGTTAATAAATATTTGATGATACTTGTTAGTAATATGTAGTTGTATCAAACAATTATGTTATCTGAACAAATTTATAGACAATATTTTATATACATTTATTTTACAAGGTAAAATACCCCCGTCGCAGCAAACCTGCATACTAAGCGAATTTCCATTTACCCGGCTTGATTTCTACTAAAATATTCCCTATAAATTTTCAGATTTATTTCCTATTTAAATCACATTAATTTTAGTGAGTAGTTAGGTTTGCTGCTACGGGGAAGATGTTGAGGTGTGTTTTTTTCAGTTGAAATATTGATAGCTTAGTATGAAATAAACCAAATTGCCAAATTTGATTTAAATATATCCATAAACAAGCAAACTAGAACAGTTTATTTATTCTCCATAAGAATAACATGGGAATTTTAAATTTACAATTTTTTTAATTTTCTCCGTAGTCAATGAACATTCAAAAACACTTCAATATACTAAATTATTTGTTTTTTTGAGCTCTTCAAAATGGTCTAGAGATAAATTTAGAAATTTAAAGTTTTTAGGGTCAAAAATGAGAAAACCCCATTTTACCCCATAAAACCCCCCATAAACCCCTGATCCCATGGTCCGATTATGCTGGTTCGCGAACTCGTTCGAATAAATGTAGGTTTACACGTTTGTACCAAATTTCATCAAAATCGGATCAATTTTGCTCGAGTTATCGCGCTAACGGACACATATATAAATATATATATATACAGGGTTAGTAAAAAGTGTGGAGACCCCCTGTTATTTTTTTAACGGCCCATACTAGAAAAACTAAACTCGGCACACCATTATGGCATGTTATGAAGTACTTTTTGGGCATAACCGCCACTTGGTGTTAATCTCCAAAATGGAAGATTTTGGGGACACTAAAAAATTTCAAATACAAAGACCCATCGAGTGACACCTCATTTTAAAGGTCCTGGTAAAAGAAAACCAACAACGCAAACTAGAGGTCTCTATCTCAGTTCAGTACAAAATGGGAGCCAATTGAAATTCTCATAAGTTCCCAAATCCAAATTCTGGATTTTGGGGGAAACTAAACAATTTTAAATAATAAGCCCCATCGAGTGACCCCTCATTTTGAAGGTCATAATAAAATAAAACTAACAACGCAAACTATAGGTCTCTATCTTAACACAGTAAAATATGGCAGCCAATTGAATATAAAATTGCAAGTTATTTCCGATTTCTAAAGATTTCATTAAGCTTCCTTTTTTTACTGGATTGAGATAGAAACCTCTAGTTTGCGTTGTTAGTTTTCTTTTACCAGGACCTTCAAAATGAGGGGTCACTTGATGGGGCTTATCATTTAAAACTTTTGAGTTTCCCCCAAAATCCCCCATTTTGGGTTTAGTAAGCAAGTGGGTATTAGGCTTAAAAAGTACTTCATAACATGCCAAAAAGGTGTGCAGAGTTTAGTTTTTCGAGTATTGGCCGTTAAAAAAATAACAGGGGGTCTCCACACTTTTTACTAACCCTGTATATATATATATATATATATATACTGTTATATATATATATATATATGAATTTGAACGGATGTTGTTTTTGGCCTCTGGGGACCTCAAAACGAAAAAGTAAATCGGTCCCGGATCTAGGTCTTACCATGAGACCTACGGTAATAGCTACTTCCCTATAGGGAAATTCGCTAAAACCTGACGAAACTCGAATTGTATACATTATATTGAATGACGAAAATTTAAAATTAGATTTATTTAAAATTTCGTATCCGATAAACTGCTTTTACAGAAATAGAACAAGTTTCATAATCAAAAGCTACCCTTAAGGCCTTAAAATTTTTTGATGCTGGTTCTTTTAATTGGAAACCGACTACTTTCCAACAACCTCTTGTTCATGAACCTGTAATAGCATGCAATCCACAAAATATACTTACTCAAAAAGCATTGCCAACGCAATAAGATCATTTAGAGTGAACTGACAAATGACAATTAGGTCTTACTACACTGGCTATTCATAGAAGACTTAATATTTTTAACCGTAGCATTGGAAATACAAACAATTTACTTAAAATCTCTAGATTTAGACTATACATTTCAAAACTTACGTTTTTTTCAGGAATTAACTGAGTTTTTGTCCAGTAAATCTTAAGTCAATCAATTGTAACTGACAAATCAGTATACATTAAATCATAAAGATAACACGGTACAGTTAATTCCTTTAGTATTTATGTAACTCAAAATGTGCAAGCATATATATTGCGTTAACATGAAATACAAATATATATGTAGCTTGTTTTTACTTTTGAAAACGTTAAAACTATGTTAGGAAGATATAAACTAAACCTCGAGATTATGAAAAGAAAATCCAATGAAGTATGTATCGTTACAATATGTTCTGTAAACATTTTACATAGAAGATCAAGACGATATTCACACAAAAACAGCCGCTGTCAAGTAGCATATTTCCTTGGGATCGGGTTTTCCCCAAAGCAATTTTCCATTCTTATATAGAACCTCTTATCGCATTTTTTACTTGCTTCACTTATCGGTTTGGGACATAAGGCAAAATCCCCCTTTGAATTTGGTTTCTCGGTTAATAGAATATGACGGGTTCTGTCGGAAATTAAAGAAAAAAGGGTTTAAAATTCGATCATTTCATTTCATTGTCTATCATAAATTGATTTACCCAAAGCATACGATAAATTTTGATTTGTAATCTTTTAATAAAACTTACAACAGCCAGAATTCTTTTGTTTATCTAAGCATCTGCCTTTCATTATTGCTAACATAGCAGCCCGAGGTCAATGCTAAACATTTCGAAGTTTTAGTTAAATTTTGTAGAACAAAACTATACTTAATGAAATTCAAAGTAGCCTAGTATTTATTTTATTGATAACTCAGTTGAAACTTCAAAACTATATAATACACATACAAAATATGTTCAATGAAAATAAACCTATTTTACTGGCTCATACCATGTATGCCATTTAGTGCCATTTAGTGTCATTTAGTGCCATTTTAGTGGCATTTAGTGTCATTTAGTGCCATTTAGTGCCATTCAGTGGCATTTAGTGCCATTTAGTGTCATTCAGTGTCATTTAGTGCAATTTAGTGTCATTTAGTGCCATTTAGTGCCATTTAGTGGAATTTAGTGGCATTTAGTGCCATTTAGTGTCATTTAGTGTCATTTAGTGCAATTTAGTGTCATTTAGTGGCATTTAGTGCCATTTAGTGTTTGAAATAATTTAAAAAATATGGGTGAGCTGGCTCGAATAAAGCACCTTCTGAAAGTATAATTTCATCAGCTGTCGTATACTGACTATACACTACGGATGCTTGCTTCCACTTTAGAGTTGCTTGAACCTACCCCCTCCCACAAAAAAAAAAAACAAAACAAAAACAAATAAAAACCTGCCGAGTTGGGAGTAAAGAAAATACTAGAACATAATTAAAAAGTCCATATTTATCAGTTTAGTGAAATCAGCTGTTAATTTAGTTTACCCAATGCAATAAATAACGTACAGTAAAGCCATGAATCGCCAACAATCTATAGCCATCTTGGTTGAAGTTTCGGAGGACAAAGAAAAGGACAGTTTGGCTTAACGACTTCCTTTTGTCTCGGATAAGCTGGAAAGCTCTGACTTCAGACTTAATTTATGATGCGTAAAGAGAAAATCGCTTCGATCGAGCAACGATATGTTACAATCTTATTTATTATTTTTATTTAGGCTACAGTTTTACAGATAGTAACAAGAAGTAATTAATACAACAAGATTAAATAAGCAAGAGTAGTTTTTAAATCAGTCATTGTGGAACTGTTTGTACATCAGTTGAAGGCATAGGGCGAACATTTCGTGGTTCACTACTGTGTTGTACAGATCATTGTGTAATTCAGTCGCTCCTGCGTATTAGTCATTATGGAACAGTTTAGTGTAGGTAGGAGGCGGAGACACATAAGGTGAGTAGCGTCTAGAGCTGGCAAACGGTCCATGAGTCGCTCCCGTGTGGTAACGCAGCTTTATAACCTTGTCGAAGAACCTTGACATGTGAACAGCGTTTGTCGTTCCTGCAGCAAAGGCTCTTCTCTGACTACAATCCAAAAATATTTCATCAGCTCCACACTCTTCGGCAATGAAAGATGATCTCGGTTGATTGTTGTTTCTTATTTGCGCTACGAGGTCAGACTTTGTTCCAACGACCAGGATGGGAATCTGGGTAGCACCAACAAAATGTTCAGGGTCAAAGTCTTCTTTTTTAGTTCCCTCTTCTCGATTCAAAACCTCGGCTAACCATTTTTGTAAGTTTTGGTGGGACTTACGGTTTGTCAAATCATGAACTAAAATTATACCGTGAACAGAAGAGTAGAAGACGTGTCTAGCGTTGCGATGACTGCTGCTGCCTCCAACGTCCCATAGTTCTACGAAGTACGATCTCTGCTTAGGCATGCCCTCCTCGTATTCGTGTAGCTTCACATCCACCCCACATCCAACGGTCCACGAAGGGTTACTGATAGGCTCACTATGGCAGACTAAGTGCACCAGAGACGTCTTGCCAACTCCAGAGTCTCCTACAACGATGACTTTGACTTTATCTATAGCTGCCATGGGAGATGATATTGTGGACTGACATTAACATCTGCCTTCTTCAGTTAGAGTGAAGCCGATGTTTATTGGAGACTTCTCAAACTCGCCTAGCTAGGTGTTGACTGTTGACGACCAGTTTTTTTGCCACTCGACGATTATAGATATAATTCGGTTCCAATGAAAGATTTATAGTAAATTACACTACAACTAATAGATTTGTTAGGCACTTAAGCAACAATTCTATATTAATAATGATGAATTGTGCAGAAAATGATAAAATACAGACAGCTGACAATAAACAAACAATCCACGTAAACAAATTTCACAAATGTAAAAATTATTGATGGCTGATCAGCAAAGGAACAAACTTAACTAAAGCCAGTGGTAATACTGAAATTCCAATAGTTAAGTTAAATATTTAATATTTAGTATTCAACTAATTATTTATAAGAATGTACGATGAAGTACGATGTTATGGTAACTAGCTGCTGTTCCTGTGCTTCGCAATGGGAAGATGTACTATACCGCCTAATCCAAACACTTGTTAAGTAGATCGAATTTATAAACAAATAGCCACCAAATTACAAAAAATGTATTACCTACTTTGTAATTGTCCTACTGTTTATATTAAAATACATCGATAACACAATTTTCATAACTTACGGTTGTAGAATATTTCTTTACTAGTTGCTCTGCCCGTGCTTCGCTACGGGGTGAGAATGCAGAAAGAAATAATTCGGTTTTACTTTAAGATACTATAATATACTCTAAGAAACAGTTACAACACACTCACCAGAAAACATATAGGCAAAGGCTCAATCGTACTTATTGATTATTTAAATGAATATCTCCTAATGTATTACAGTGCCATCATTTTATATAGTGTATTAATCTTACTAATATTATAAATCTGAAAGTTTGTGAGTTTGTGTGTATGTTTGTGTGTGTGTTTGTGTGTGTGTTTGTGTGTGTGTTGCTCAATCACGCATAAACTACTGGACGGATTGGGCTGAAATTTGGCATGATGATAGCTCACATTCTCGATTAACATTAAAGCATATTCTTATCTCAAAAACCCTTTCGGGCTCCGCCCCAGTGGCTCTGTAGTTCCCCATGTTAATCTTATGATTTTTCATATTTAAAAGGAATTAATGAATCTTAACAGCTGTTTCAATTAAACAAGTTGGTTCTGTTCTATGATATTCAATAGCATAAAAGTTAAAAGGATTACCAACAGGGTGCAGCACTATTAATTTTTTTTAAATATATGACAACAGCTAATTTCCAACCAAAAGGTGAGTGAGCGTAGCGAACAAACTTCAACCTGGAGGCGAGTTAGCGTAGCGAACGAGCTAACCTGAAGGCAAGTGAGCGCATCGAACGAGCTCCAACCTAAAGGTGAGTGAGCGTAGCGAACGAACTTCAACCAGGAAGTGAATGAGCCATGCGAATACTTATGAAGTTAAACGGGGCGAAGCCCGCGGGTACAGCTAGTTTAAAATATATGCAAAGGTATAATTCATTGACCACATGGCACCAAGAAACAATTCTCCTTGTAAACAGATTAAATAAAGTAGCAGAACAGCATTTCTGACAACAGCTGGAGTTTCATAACAATGTTTGTTACCCATGTTAATCTTATGGAGAAATACGAAACTTTAAAGGGCCCCAGGGCCTCACTGTCTAATTATTTACCTAAAAAGAAAGTTTCCTGCACAACTTCACGTTACGCTCTTTCCAATGACACCAAAAACATGTCAATCGGTTAAGTAGTTTCGGAGGAGTAATTGTCACAAAAATCCTACTTGCGTATTAAATAAGTATATATAGATTTCCATAAGCAATGACATAAAAAAAACCTACCACATAGTTGTGTAAAATATTTCATTTAATTTTTTTTTTATCAGCTGTCTGAAATTGTGAAATAAGCATTTTGTAGTTTTGACTGTTTACATTGAAATGTCAACGCAAAGGTAAACAAAGTTTGTGCATTTTGTCATTCTTCCATGGAGGCCAACTAATATTTACTTTAAAACACCTCACCTCAAAAGTTTGGACATCCAAGGGGCGTAGCCCGAGAGGAACTCAGGGAAGTGAATAGTCCTATGTCATTCCTAGGTATGTGGAAACTTGTTGTGCTTAGTTTGGGCTGTGTCGGTTTAGTATTTTAATCACCGGACAGTATTTTTACACCACCTCAATTTTATAATAGTCTATATAGATAGATAGATAGATAGATAGATAATGTTTTGTAAAACTGTCGACTATCATCAAAAGGGTTTTTAGGTCCAGCTGTCGTGATCTACTAAGAAATATTCGTTATTATGATTATTTATTAATAATTTTATACTTCATCAACGGATAAGCTTACTTCACAAGTACATAATCCATTTTGCATAATCGATTATTTTCAGTGGAACTTTCATAGATGTTGTCAAAAACAACCGAATGAAAATATCGATAGACATTTTTAATCGGATATGTCATTCGATATATTGTTTGGTTGGCTATGTTAACCTAACCTAACCAACCACATGATATATCGAATCCGAATGAAATAATCGATCAATCAAGTATTCAATTTAACGATTGATATTTTTATTCAGTTTTTTACAACAGACATAAAATTCTACCCTTTTCAGTAATTAGAGTTCATTAGTAGTATTATGATGAAACCAAGAGTGGTTCAATCGGTTTAATTTTCACCAAACAAATATCGTTGGTAGGAGTTTAGTATATTTTACCACAGTAGATGAATGTTTTGTGAAACCTCACCACCAAGCATGCCGTCCTTTTACACACATAATAAATCACTGACAACCTCAGTTAAGTTTACAATGCCTTGGCTTAACTTTTGCCATTATATCATCGTGGCCAGACAGCAGTAAATTAGAAGGATGTAAACCTAGGTACGATTCTCCTAGAGTCATGGAAGCAGTGCAAAAAATTTGTTTGCAAATTGTAGGGTACTTACTTAATGGAAATAACACTGGGTGTAAAGTTAAAAAGAATTTATTCCACACAACATCAGTTGATTTCAAAATGCATTAAGTGGTCTACGCTGTATGTAAGTGGATATAGCTTTAGAAAATTGGAAAATTTCTGTATTGAAATGTTAGATTTTCTAAATTAATAAGAATACGAATTAAATCTATTATTAATCTAGCAGTAGCAACAATATTTCATATAATTTCCATATTGTAATCAACGCATATTTCGGCATTCGGCAATACCGTACAATACCACGCACATTGATTGACGTGTTGTATTGTTGAACAGCTGACACTGACCAGCTTTCAATCCATCATACAACAATCAGCTGATCACCTCGTGTAAAACGATGCGATTAATTTATGCTTAATACGAATGGGGTTGTTTATCATGTTAATATAGTTTGCAAAGATATAGTATGTAAATTATGACATTGTAGGTGTATACAGGAATTAAGTTGTGGTTAAAATTAGTTGTTACCTGGTTGTTACAGGTTAGCGTTGCAACTTCTTGCAAATTTGAAAAAATATACATTTTAACGTGGATGTTTTAGGTTATGACTGGTGATTACTTCACGAAGAATGTACTAAGTGTACTTCAACAAAAGTCCTAGAAAATAGTTTTTTACCAGTCTGTTAATGCTTGCGATAATTTCTCATACAGTTTCAAAAAGTGTTATTTTGTAATATTTCACTGTTTCTATTACTTGGTCTATCTTTTGATATAAAAAGAGGAACGATCACTTTATTTGTTATGTTTAATCACATTTAGAACTTTTTAAACAAAATATAACAATCCATTAATAACCATTCAAAACCTCTTTATAATTTGTAGGTTAAGTTTTTCAGTAACTTCAAGAAACTATTAGCGATTTTGTGACTTTTGCACGCATGTAAGGGTGCCTATGTAATAGTGTGACTACCACTGTATAGATCGAAAGCCAAGTATTTCCACAGAGTTCATGTACGCAACATAGTGAGCCAAGTAGCTAGATACACGACATTCAGATACTTTGTTGCTGCTTTGCATGCATGTAAGGGTGTTTATGTGATGGTGTGACTACCGCTGTATAGATCGACAGCCAAGTATTTCCACAGAGTTTATGTATGCAACATAGTGAGCCAAGTAGCTACATATACGACACATTCAGATACTTTGTTGCTGCTTTGCATGCATGTAAGGGTGTTTATGTGATGGTGTGACTACCGCTGTATAGATCGACAGCCAAGTATTTCCACAGAGTTTATGTATGCAACATAGTGAGCCAAGTAGCTACATACACGACATTCAGATACTTTGTTGCTGCTTCGCATGCATGTAAGGGTGTTTATGTGATGGTGTGACTACCACTGTATAGATCGACAGCCAAGTATTTTCACAGAGTTTATGTATGCAACATAGTAAACGAAGTAGCTACATACCTGACATTCAGATACTTTGTTGCTACTTTGCATGCATGTAAGGATGTTTATGTGATGGTGTGACTACCACTGTATAGATCGACAGCCAAGTATTTTCACAGAGTTTATGTATGCAACATAGTGAGCCAAGTAGCTACATACACGACATTCAGATACTTTGTTGCTACTTTGCATGCATGTAAGGATGTTTATGCGATGGTGTGACTACCGCTGTATAGATCGACAGCCAAGTATTTCCACAGAGTTTATGTATGCAACATAGTGAGCCAAGTAGCTACATACACGACATTCAGATACTTTGTTGCTACTTTGCATGCATGTAAGGATGTTTATGTGATGGTGTGACTACCACTGTATAGATCGACAGCCAAGTATTTTCACAGAGTTTATGTATGCAACATAGTGAGCCAAGTAGCTACATACACGACATTCAGATACTTTGTTGCTACTTTGCATGCATGTAAGGATGTTTATGCGATGGTGTGACTACCGCTGTATAGATCGACAGCCAAGTATTTCCACAGAGTTTATGTATGCAACAATGTGAGCCAAGTAACTACATACACGACACTTTCAGATACTGTGTTGCTGCTTTTCGTCGCGTGTGTCACCTGGAGAATGCAAATCTTGCGCTCGACCTGGATACGGAGAATTCTTGTGTTGTATGAAACACGTCTTGA